CGGCCACCGAGCGGCGGCCACCCAGGCACCACCCGCTTTTAGGGCATCGCTCGGTCGCCGCTGAAGTTTTAACGCTGAGTTAAATTTGGGCGGCGCCTGCTCACTTTTCACTCGCTGCCCAAAATACGCTTGGTGCCTGGGCGGTCGCCGCCCGGGCACCGACCTAATCGCTGGGCGATGCCTAATTCCAGCAGCGACCGAGCAGGCTACTGAAAGGTCGGTCGCTGCTCTGATTTGTGACCATAGCTTTACTTACAAGCATTTATGCTTTCTTAGCAGTCAGGTAAAAAATAACCATCATCACATTTTTCTGACACAAATCAGGCGTGAAAAACCCCTAATGTGATCACCTGGTGTTCCTCTTTATTTGTGACGTCATGACTGCTTTCTCTCATGTTCTTAAGGGGTTCATACTCTAGAAGAAAGCTGCCAACAGCACGCACCATTGAGATGGAGCTACTAATTAACAGTGTATCCATCACAGGTCCATTTAGTGTGAAGAATACACATTGAGCCTAAAGGCACACAGCAATTGTGACTAAACAAATCTACACTCACGTAAAGAAGAGTGTCATCCGTGTTTCCTTCTCATATTATTTCTATGAGCTTAAGGGAAGAATTTTCTAACAAGATAGCTACTTTTCAATATACACATGAGGTTAAACACCCCATGATAAACAAAATTATTAATTCTATCCAGCAAATTTGCCATTACAAATATTAGGCAATTTCCTGGCACTGTAAAACTGTCTTTTATAACTGGCATGTTATATTATCTATCTAATTCTTAAATGAAAAGAAAATAATTATGAGTGACTGGTTGCCAATTTCAGAGCTGAAAGCTGATTCACTCATCTCTTAAGAAAATCCTTTTCCTTGATTAGTTAATACCTTCACTGCCGAGTCGTCTCCAGCAATCTAATATAGCAATATGACTTTGACAAAAGAAAATTGGCACCCTGTAATTAGTTGCATGCGATTTAGGCTCCTTCAATCTGATGTGCAATGACGGGGCCGTCGTCTCGATTAATACCCTTGACTGAATTGGCCCCAAGATGGAGCCCTCTTTCCGCCCAGTTCCCCTGTCGTCCTTGGGGTGGATTTAAACCTCTTCTCTTTCTTTGCTGAGCTGTCTCGAAGGTGTGATATCCTTGAGGATTTGTTTTCTCTTGTTTTATTTTTGTTTAGGCAAGTGAGCAGCCGATAACATCTTTCATGTGATGATGATGCACAAGCTTAACCCGATGGATGCCACAAGCCCACAAGCATTGACAAGCGTGTGACCGAGATCCACAATTTTTGTAATCAGATTATTCAAGAATATATACAGAATAAAGGCAGTGCAGAGAGTCAATCAGCACATGAACAATTGCATGATTATCTCAACAATAAAGATTGACATCTGACAGGGAAATGAGCAACCAGTGATTAGTATATCGCTGACTTGTATTACAAGACTCATTACAGTAACAAATCATAAAACAAAAGATTAGTTAATCATTATATTTATCACTACCGATATATCAAAATATATCCATTTCATTTCATATTGCTATGACAGTGCACCACAATACATCTATGAATTCATGCTAGATGCTAAAGTATAATTTTCAAGTTTGTGTTCTGTTGATACATCACTTTAATAATTTGTTTTTTTACTTTCTAAAGTAAACACACAGAAAGTGGAATTGATCCACAGGAAGTTCTTAGCAAAAAACAAACAAATTGCTTTCTTGAATGCGATGGTTCACTTCACAGCCTGCCACAGATCTAATTTTATTTCCTCATACAATATTACAAGACTTGAGCAGGAGAAAAATTAGGGCAGATATTCTGCCATTAATCACGCGCAAACTAGACAGTGTAATGAGCCATAGCAGTGGTGTGTTTTATTGCAGCTCTAATTGCTCTCCTCCCTCATTACATATTTAGACATTCACATCTTCACCGGTATTACCCCTGGATTATCCATCGATCTGTATCACCTCCTAATATATATACAGCTGACCAATATCACTCAAATCTACGGTATATATTTAGCAAGTACTATCTGTGCCCCCCCCCCTCTCTCTCTCCCTCTTTTTCATCTCTGACACATCTTCTACCTCTCCCTCTTTCTGTCTTTCTTTCTTTCTTGCTCTCTATCTCTACATATGTTCTATCGTCTTCTCTCTCATTCTATTATATCCAACACAGTGCAGCCTACAATCTATCAACATTATTTTGTCTTTTTCTCACTCTTCGGAAAGCTCCATCTCTTTTAGTATCTAAAACCTTTTGTTTTTATCTCTTCGATTACTTTCTTTCTTTTACCTTTCTTTTACCTTTCTCTCTCTCTCTCTCTCTCCCTCTCTCTCTTTCTTTCCCTCTCTGTCTCTCTGTCTCTCTCTGTCTCTTTCTTTCCCCCTCTCTCTCTCTGTCTCTCTCTCTCTCTGTCTGTCTGTCTCTCTCTCTCTGTCTCTGTCTCTCTCTCTCCTTGAACACAAACAACCTTGTTTCCACTAGGATATGACCCTTCATTAGATTGTTCAATGAATAGTAATGATGATAATCAATGCTCTACACCAACAGACCCTCAAATCCAGACACCTTCCAAAAAGTTAGTGTGAAGCCCTGTGATAATGACGATGATGACAATGAAAACAACAAAAACACATATTTGCAACACACCGGACAAGTTTTTAAATCATTTTCGATCTTAATCAGTTCTGACAACAGAACCTGTAATAGAGGGAATGGATTTCAAAACTAAAATCCTACACACATCTATCTGGGAATTCTCTCTTTTTTTATTGGAAGATCTATAGCTTTAATAGTTTGAGGGTATTGTCAGCTTGGATGGCAAACACTCCTCTATTAATTAGAGAGAAAAGTTCAAAGATCAGCCCAAAACATCAATAGCAAGCATGCCGATACTGGAGATGCGTCACCATGACAACAAGGTGTATCATTAACAAGAGCCTACGGAGGAACGAGATCTCTCATTTCTGCGAACGGAGGTAAAACACCTCGCGGAAGTCTCATATGAAGAGCAAACAGCACATCCACACCGTTCCTGGCAAGTAATATTGTATTAAACCCAAAATCAATACAATTACCAACTTCAAATTGGCAACCCGAAACTTCATGCCTTCTACCCATTACATCTGTTGGCACTCATCTTTCAGAGCCCGACATTGTCTGTCCCGCACAAGGCGAGAGGAATGGAGTGCTAAGACCTCTGTCACTTGCTTGGCATTATGCTGGAGCTGACTGAGTCATGTTATCGTGCTCATTTCTCTGATTGGCCTAGACAACAAACGCTCTCGATCCATTCGACGAAAACCAACAGTATTTGGCGATGAACCTGGATAGGTGCATGCAGGCATTCTGTAGGGTCTGTTCACATGCATGCATTATTTGTTCACACTTTATATCGTGAGCACACCTTAGATAAGCTAAGCTTCACATCTTACGTATACATGATAGCTTTCATGAATAAACAACTGATACCTATCAATTAACCAGGAACCAAATGTAAAACAGTTCAAAAACTGGGACCTGTTCATAAAACTTGCCACCAATCACAAGTTACAATAAATGTTATAAGCTACTGAGAGCAAATTTGTCACAGAAATTTAGCATTTGTTATCAACATCAAGTTTTATGAAACAGTGCCCTGACCTTGTTATCCTGTATGATTACATTAGAAAAATTTGTTACAATAGTGTGATAATTTTTTTATTTTAAATCCTATTAATTATATGTGCATTTAATAAAAAATATTTGACACAGAATAGATGAATGAGAATGAGAAATGATAGAACTTCATAACATTCAGCATTATCACCTTTTGTTTTTTTAAATTTTAAGATTACAATATTGCAAAAATATTTTAAAGGCTTATACCAGCATTCAATAATGCTTAAGAAAGGCTTCACTTGATACACATAGACTGTGTAAATTAAAAATAAAATGAATAGAAAAATGACTGAATATAAAAATCATTAAAATCATGCCCTCGTTACAGTGTAAAGCTTGTTATTTCCAAGTCAAAATGCAGAAGACATGACTGTTTTAGATGTTCAGTTATTGAACATGTACAGGGCAATGGAAACGTGCTTACACCCCATCCTCGTTCGTGTGAATGCACTTTGTAGGGTAGCTGAAACCAAGATCAGGGAAACGCTTCAGCAGACGTCTGCAAACACACAAACTTGACACGAATCTACCGGGACGCCTCACAACGATCCATTCATAATTTCTTCATGAAAACCTGACAGAAACTGGAGATGCTGAATGTCTAACTGCGACATTGTACCTCTGACTGGAATGGTTTAAAATGCAAGAAGGACTCTGGAGATAGGGACTAGGTGACATACCGGAGAGATTATTCTAAATTTGGCTACACTCTACAGTATATTGAAACCTTCCCCCACACTTATAAATCTCAGATCTATAAGACCATGAGTGTTCAGAACTAAAGCATAGCTACACATACAATTAGAAATCACAAGTGAAGAGTAACCTCTTTGTGGTAAATATTGAAACTCATTCTACTCTAAAATAAGAAATTATCTGTTTCAAACCTTAACTTTTAATTATCATCACTTAATTCAGTCAATATCAAACGAATGTAACATAATTATGTGTGTACACCTAGTCTGTTTACAGCCAGAAGGGTATTAACTCAGTGTAATATGAGTTAATGCCCTTCTGGCTCTCAACAAACAAGTGGTTTGATCAGTCAGGACTCAAGTCAAAGGACCTGGATGGTGTTTCACAAAGCCTTTTTTTAATGACAAATGACAAAAATCAGTGACAAATCTGCTGATAACCAATCAGAAGCAAGGATTTCAGTAGCTTATAACAAAAACTGTCACTTTTCACTGATGACAAGTTTTGTGAAACGCCCCCCTGGATATCTTGAAATAGAAAGGCTTATTAATCATGCTCTACACATAAGCATCCCTGTATCCTCCTTGCTCCAATGGTTTGAGAAAACACATAAAGTGGCTCACCTGACAATAGTATGTTCCTCTTATTCTGCTGTACATCATCAAAAATGAAAAGTCCAGATTTTGTTTCGTTCTCCATCTGAAATCATCAAAATAAAAGAGAGACACAGCTAGTCAATACATGTTTCTTGAACAACAATGCACAATGTTTTGTGACACCTAGATCAAGACCGAGGAACTTGGAGAGACACTTGATATAAAATTTTGATCGGGTCACTGAACCTGTCATAAACTGATAGATCACTATTGATGAGATCAAGGGGCTTTATCTCATTCACTTTTACATAAAGGTAACTCTCAGCAGTCAACGATGTCATCATTTCTCATTCCAGGAAACGGCAAGCTTGGAGATACAATTGATTTTTATGATTGATTGTAAGTCGATTAGTATTTCAAAGGGCCAAGGTCAGGGTAACCATCCTTGTAAACATCAAGCCATGGAGGCATGCATGCACGCTTAGGGTATAATGATGACATAATAGATGCATGCATGCTCAGGATATAATGATGGAATAATAAATGCATGCATGCTTAGGTTATAATGATAGAATAATAGATGCATGCACATCAGGGGATAGTACACACATGGAAAACTATCATCTTGTCACTTTCCCTGAATGGCTCGATACGTTCAGATAGACAACCATCCTGTCTCAGTTAATTAATCACTTTAATTAAGGTTAATGAGAAAAACGTCTGAATGATTAAAACTTAATGCATCATCTTCCCCATAAAACAGTATATGAAATAATTTCAGGCATAATATCAGATGTAAAGACCCCCCCCCCCCCCCCCCTCTGTAAAAAGGGTTCTATTGATTTTTTTTGCTTAACCCATATCCTCCTAATGCATTATAGATGTAAACGCTGTTCGTACCTAGCCACTACACACAAATATTTGCACTAAAAGTATTTTTCACTTCATTTCACATCTCCTTCAAAGGCACAACAAATAACAGAGAGTTGACTCATTATGTATCAAAAGAAAGAGCATAAAATTGCCTTCATTATGATACAAATCTTCATGCATTTTGACTAATCAGGAAACTAAAACAGTTGACTGAAATCAGATATCAGTTATGAAAATATGAATAATGAATATCAATTTGATATTCATACATAAATCAAACATATTTTCTTCCTTTGCATGTAGACTTGAATATCATTTTCAAACAGAGATATATATGATACATGCATATTGTGACCTTCTAAGTATGAATAATTGAAGATGTAAAAATATTATACAATTGCTCTGTTTATGATAAATGGTGTATTTTCCATACAAATATCATCTACTGAGTCCAAGTTTTCCGGCAACACAAGGCTATAAATGATGTATTCATTGAATAATCTTTCTTTATTCTTACAGCAGAGTAAACAGACGGGACTGATGTTAATAGAATTACTTTCATCTGATAACTTACGATTGCCTTTTTCAAAGTTAGTTTGACAAAAGGTCCAGAAAGTATTACAAAAGTACTCTACAATACAACGCGGCGATGTTAGCGTGTATTTATAGTCGCCCTGGTAACAAAGGGATCGGTGCACAAACATGTGAAACAATTGCATATTTATCAAATGAATTTATAGCTTTCTGGACTTTGGAAGTTAATGCTGCACCAAATTGTATACAATGACACGCTCTCAGAAACTCGTACAGCACTGTGGGAGAGCAAGTCAGAGTTCACAGTGTAAAAAAAGGCCATTACAATGATGTCATTCTCACGGCAAACTTGACTACGAAATTTTCCGTACTTCGGTGATTGCAGCACTCGCGGCTTCTACAGGAAATCCCGTAGATCGGAAGATATGGGTTAAGGGGGCTATTTTTTATATTCCGCAGACAACATGGAGTTTTCTCAGGAGCAATTAAATTCGCTTTATATTTATCAAAAATTCTTTTTAAGCTTAGCAAACACAATCCCTTTCCTTTCAATGGTGGGACCAAGATCCTTTGGTAATAAGATCAGGAGCATTGTCTAAAGCCTCTGACAAATTACAGTCTTCATTTTAAAAATAATTTAAAAAGTACATATTGAGCACAGATAGTACCTGTGCCTGCGACCCCCCCCCCCCCCCCCCCACATGGGTCCACTATTGCCACCCCATTGCATTCTTTTCACTTTTCGATTCATCCTATTCTATCACTTACTTGACTCTTTCTGATGTATCACCAAATGTCTCTTTGATGCTGTTTAGATCAGGATAATACTCCGCTGGGGGTGATATAACTTCGATTAATCCAGAATCTACCTCTGCAGAAAATCTGGAAGAAAAAAAGGAAAAAAGGCAATATTACAATTAAATGGAATCATCAATATAAGGCCCATTTACACAGCCCAAAAAACACTTTGAAATTACCATCATCTTTAACTTTTAACTTTAACACTGTATACTAGAAAAACCCATCGTCGATGTTTGATAATTTTGCTTGTTCGGTGAGTTGCGCGCATGCACCACTTATCGCTGCCCTGTATGCATAAGCACAGAAGACAGGAAAGTCATGTGACCCAAAACAGGAATGATTCACTGGTGTTTTCAGTGCAAGAATTTACAGTGCAAAAACCGGCAAAGTTTCTGCCAACAATCTTTTAACCAAAAAAAACAGAAGTAGATTTTTTCGTTTTTGGTTTTTTCCTGTGTTGCATAGCATCTTCTGATAAAACACTGGAATGTGAGGGGGGGGGAAGACAGTTTTGCTTTTAGTGTAAATGCAACTATTGTTGTTATACTCTTTCAAAGGCTGTCAATTAACAGCATAACCAATTATAAAAAACAATTATCAGTGTTTGAACAGATATAAAAGCAAAATTAATAAATAGAATATATATACTAAAGAGAGCACGCTACTGTGCTCAATATTGATTTACAAAATTCAATGTTCCCTAACAAAAGTACCGGGTAGGGCAATCACGAAATGATTTTTCTCTATTTACTGACAAATAGACAGTATTTGACATATGTGGGCATATATTTAAAAAGGGAGTTGTAGTGTATAATACCTTTGGGTTGCTCCATCTGCTCCACCGTGGTACCGAGGGGTACGTATACTGGGGGCATTTGTAGGGCAAGTTATTTGTCAAATGGTCATCGGGAAAAAAATAAAAATCAATCATATCTATTCCTGCCCCATCTCTGAAATTGATTTTGTAAAAAAAAACAGCTGTTGAAAATTTGAAATAGCATGTGAAGGTGTAGAGTTTTTAACCCAAATTTGCAACAACTTGCTGTAACTTGAAATCTTTTAAAGATCTTTATATTCCAGAACTTAACACTGGGCAATGATTTGGTAATACAACCTGTCATTTTAAATAAGACAACTTCCTTCAAAACTTTTATGTATTATCCCTATATTCAGGCTTCTTTGCCTCATTTTTCATAATATGTTCAAAATGAAAAAGGAAAGACCCATTGTCATATGCAGCCTATGATCTGAGCCATCATGGTCACCCCCCCCCCCCCTCCCCCTAATCACTTTGATATTCGGGGGGGGGGGGGTGTGATTGGGGGGGGGGGTGTGATTGGGGGGGATCTATTTCAGTAATAAACAGGAAAACCAGTTCTGTTGCAACAACAATTGACAATGTGATGTCATACTGTAATGCTCTCCTTTGTTTGATTTGCCATATGAGAGGAGAGCAAATTGGCTTCTGGTGCAGATTTCCAACAATCTGTTTCTCTGATGTTACTGTTAAATCATTGAATCAACCTATACGAAGTACAATATATCATATTTATATCCTTACTTTTTCTGCATTATGTACCAAATTTATTGGCAGTTAGTATCATGCATATTTCAATATAACCATTGAAAGGCTTATATATACTATTTTGTTATCATCTAACTTTACTTCACTTACAGTATTTCCTCTAATTTAGTCAAAGCTTTTTTTTGGTATGTGTGTGACTTTTGAATTACCATTTTTGAAATTGTTATAAATGGACTTGTCATCAATATTATTTTTTTTTGGATTAAATAACTGGCATCCACTTTACAAATAATCTTGTAAAAACTGAATTAAATATAATAATTGCTGTTTAACATTATCTCTTTTAATGCATGAAGTCACATTTGCTGTTTAGTTATCACTGAACTGCTATATGTCAAGGTTAATTTTATAAACGTATTTCATGTTCCTTGTATTCTATCGGGTTGACATTGACGTATGTGAGCAGGAAGATGGAAACCATCTTGACCTCCTAGCTTCCTTCCCATGATTAAACTCATCAGGGTCCACTTTTTAATGTTCTTCATATAGGCACAAATTTGTGAAGATTATTCATGAACCAGTGCTACATTATATATAATATGAGAACAGAGGCATCTGTGTAATAGCTTCATTAACACTGCAGGCAAAAATAAAGAAGATTTTTCTCACATACCAGAGTTTGTTAGAAGTTGATAGGCAACTACCCATTAAAGGTAATACAAAGTTTTGGTATGGGTTCACAAATTTGGTTAAAATGAACATATTAGAAGCATATGCGATCCTACAATATTCAACGATCGTTGTCGCGGTTGAAATCGAGTTTAAAGTTATGACATTGTAAACAATAAACTCTTTATGTTGTATAGCTCCCTCTTAAGGTCAATATATTAATTAAGCTATAAGACAATGTTTCTTGACTTAAATCGACAGATTAGCTATTCCCGTTTGGAAATTATATATCACAACAACATATTCTGAGAATGTCATGGTCGCAGCTACCATTAAACGGCCGTAGGCGCTTTTTGAAATTTATCAAAATTTACCGGGAGCACCGGTAAATTTTTATATTCAATTTTTCTCAAAAACAGAAGTGTTTTAGGGGCTACATTTTCTAGCGCTTATAATACATCCACAGGGGCATCCAAATATATCAAAATTGTAAAGAATCACTATCCATCCAATTTTCAAAATTTCCCAAAACTTTGTATTACCTTTAACACGACAAAAAAAAAAAAAAAATGAAAACCCCACCTCTGTAGTGTGTATTTTTTCAACACCAGCAAAGCCTCTGACCGGTTATTGTAAATGCTCGCCTTCAAAACACTGGTGAACTATTCCGGTTTTGGTGATTTGATTCTCCACATTTCTGTACTAACGCAAACGCCAAAGTTTTTATGGGATTTTCCTGCAGCAGAGTGAATTTTTCTGCAATGTAAATGGGCCCAATGTAGATCAGTAACCTTATTTGACCTCGTCTATATAAAGAATCCATATCCTTCTGAGGATACATGTTGGTATCATGGTGTTCTAAAATATCAACAATAACTGGGTTAGATCCGACTGTTTTCATGTAACTTGACCTCTAAGGCTATAAACACAGTTCTTGAGTTGACTTTGTTTAGTCCTAAATTTTATCAGTTTACCAGTCAATTGAGATACTTACTGGTACAGGTTATCAAGTTCAAATTGTTAATGTGATTTCCGCAGAATTAACTTCTGAATACACCATACATGTATTTTGTGGTACATATAGGCATCGGGCATCCTTTATCTACTGATCATGGAAAATTAAGATTTTAAGAGGAAGAATTGAGCAAATCCATTGAATAGTTTGAATATAAAGCATCAAAATACTGCCTTTTAAAGTGATTGTTCACAGGTTGACGTGTAGAAATTTTCCTATCAAATTCAATGTTTTTATTGTCTTGTTTCAATGTCCTGCATTTTGAACTGATATGGCACTATCAAATTTGTATTTTGAAATATTTTATGGTACATATACAGATACCTACGGGGACTAATTTTACTGGTATTTTTATATGACTGCTATACAAAATATCATGTACGTAGCAATTTTCTTCCATAGAAGTGTACACAATTTAATTTGAAACATTGATCTATCGGCTTAAATTGCTTATCAAGTTTGAGGATGTAAAATTATTCCCTGACCTTTCATTATACATCCGACAGATGCATCCATCAACCCATAAAAACATCGAAAAATGACATCAAATGAAGAGAATGCAAATCTGATCAGAATTTGCCTGATTAAAAATAAGAGCAAAAGCCATTGATCGCCATCTCTGGTTTCTGTATCAACGTGGGCATGGTGATTGTACTACACGTAGCTATCACAAATCATTAAAATTTCATAGCAAAACGTGGAAACTCCAAGGAGACTCATTTACAAACTCTTTCCATTTAGTAATTAGTGTCAGCAGATAATGGAGAATTTGGTAAGATATCAAATGGTGACAACAGTGTGGGAAGAACAGATTATTTATTCATGATCTTGTGGTATTGTTGGAGCAAATATTCCCCACAGTCTATAAAGGAGTCTGTACACAGCCACGCTAATGACATAATCATCATCATCATTTTCCTTCTTACAAGAAGTTACCGACCTTCACACCGAGATCACGCTCCTTCCCTCTCCTTCTTCTTGCCTCGAGCATCCTCTTCATTTAGATCAACCTTACTGCTTTCTTTCTTCAACATATATTTCCACGAAAACTTTGGTCTCCCTTTCCCTCTTATGCCACCCACTACCACATCCGATGTTCTCTTCATAGGTTCATCATCTTTCCTTCTCAACACATAACCCATCCATCTCAATCTACTTCATATTACCACATCCACCACAGTTTCTTCCAGACCCAACCTTTCCATGAAGCTCCCTCGTGCTCTGTCTATCGGACAGTTTCAAATACACCACACATCTTCCTATCATGGCTTTCACTGTCCTCCTCAAGATATACCTTCTTTAAATATACTGTCTTTACATTCCAGGTGTCTGAACCACATATCACCGCTGATAGTGAATGTATAACCACTGAATCAATTTAAGAAAATTATTTTAAGAGATGTTTTGAGTTCTAGGAAAGCTCACCGCACACTATACGATCCAACTACGATGCAATTCAGGAGGAATTTTCAATAGCATTTGATATGAACATTCAGCTATTATTGAGTGCAGGAATCTTCTAATCTTAAACCTCTCAGCAAAAATTTGTAATACGAAACTATGCTTGGAGCAGAAATGTTTCGATCTAGTGCCCTGTTAATGAGAATACAGATTGAGAAAATTCCTATAAGTCGGTTGTAAAAGGTCAGATTGTGCTGATGACTTGAACAGACGGTGACAAGACGATTGAAAAGAATATTTGTGGTAATAGGAAGGGGTCAAGTCCACTTAGAAGTCTCTCGTTAATTTCACCTTACACTAAAAGAGTATGTGTAACTAACATGTACATGTATGTGTAAATTGTTGGTACTCTTTATGGAAATTGTAGTACGGTAATTTATCATTGTGTTAAACAAGTTTAATCCAATAGATACTACTAACACTACCAGTACCACTACCAAAACCACTACCACCATACCACCTACTACTACTACTGCTAATAATATTTGGTTGTTATAGAGTGCATATCACATTATAACGTCTCTATTATTTATCGAATATTTTACATCTTAATGAATATAGGTCTTTTCCCCCTTCTTCCTGGAGAACTCTGAAATGTTCCACTCAGCTGTTTCACACAATGAATTAGACATACTCTCATGTATGTGCACTTTGTCATAATGTGCTTACACCGTATTCAAGCGAATTCAGATGAATTACCTGCAATTCAATAAATATGTAAGCCTTCCCATACTTCTATTAATATATATATTCCCTTGTTCAGTCTATCTGATCAATATTTTTTATTTATGCTTTTGAAGCACATTTCAGAATTGTTTGGCAGTCTCTCGTCATTTCAAAACCATCATATCTTAAAAAAAAGTGCCAAGTATTACATTTAGGGGTTGTCTTTCTCATCACATCTTGCAGTACAAGAAAATTTATAATTTTATGTGCATGGCAAACCAACAACCCCTTTCTGTATCAAAATACAAAGATATTGTAGAAAAAGACCTTGCAAAGTACAATTATGAAGCCGCTTGTGTTACAAACCCTACAGATGGTTTGGCCTTTTCAGCCAACTTTTGACCCCACATCCTAACCAACAATAGGCCATCAGAACTACCCAAAACCATGAATATTGAAATGTAATTATTTTTCTGACATGTTTAGCCCTCAACAAAGGTTCTGCACTGACAGTAGGTCTGTTTTCACTAGCCTGAGTTTTCAAAATAGCCTGCTATTCTGATCGGAGGAAATTATCCCAATCGTAACTAACTCAAGCTAATTGCACAGATGACACAAATAGCAGGCTAATTTGCCCTTGCGCTTGGCATATTAGTTTGAGCTGTTATCCCAAATACACCTGGGCTTGCACAGGAAAAGGACAGCAATTCAACCTGGAAGGCACCCTCAAAAAATGAAAAGCTGTACCTAAATTTCAAGAGCGAGTGGGGATTGCTAGATGCAGACTTATGAAAATGGGGAACTTCAAACTTGTGGGGGGGGGGGGGGGTGAGGGGGGACGTTTATCAAAAAGCACCAATCTTGTTTATCTCAAGCTCGAGTATGGGCTCATGGAGATGCACTTGGGGGCTCATGGCACGCACTTGGTGACTCCTAATGCTACACACAATGTTTTTCATTGTTGAATATATTTTGATTGATGAGGTGGGTGAGGAGTAGCATTCCATATGTTCTGGTATGTTACCCTCACTCTCACCATCACACTCATCTGTTCACACTTCCTGCTGGGAATACTGTCAACTAGCGTAGAGGTGTTGTGGTCTAGTGGATAAGTCACCAGACTGTAGATTAGAAGGTAAAGGGTTCAAGTCCCTGCCATGCCATGCCACATCACTAATACCCTTTGGAAAGAAATTAATGTCAATTTGTTTCAAAGGCTCAATCCAGGTGTAAGAGATATGTTTGTTGTATTAAACCCAACATATGGTTGCAATGAATGATGTGACACCCCTCCCCCCCCCCCAAAAAAAAATGAAAATGAAAAAAATGAAAAAGGGGACTAAAAACATAAATTCCCACAGGATCAAGAGCAGTGTACATCTCATCTAAAGCTTGCTGAATAACAAAATACTAAGACTATGAGGAAATCCATATATTCCTAAAATTGAGGAAATACTGAGGATTTTTCAGTTTTATTTGTTGGGGGTGCATTTTGACAAAATTTATACTTGTACATCAATCAAAACAGAAATTTTGTAGTTTTCAATGAAAACTACTTTTTATTTGCCCAAGAAGGCGATAAATCGTGAAGAAGAATAGACATGGTTAATGACACGTGAGGTTTTAATAGATATATAATCAACTTGAAAGGTAAAATTCACGTTAAAATCGGTCTAGACAGCAATTTCACATCTTTCTTGAGAAGAGGAACCTGTAATATGTGCATGCAGGCCCCTATTGTATTATTCAGAAAGCAGATGCTTCTCCAAATACAGACAGTGGATGAATAATAAAGATGCAATATAATTATACTGTATGTACATATCATTAGTGAAATTGCAAATGACTTCTTCCTTGCAATTCCATGGGACTAATTATAAGCCGGTAAGATACTTTCATCCTCGCTTTGTTAGTAGCATATTGATCCATTTCAAATGTCAACGAGTTAGTCATCACAGAATAATGAAGGTCGGAGTTACACTCTCCCAATGCTGAAGCCTGTACATTTGTTTCTTGTGATACAAACTGCTTTAAATATATAATACCAAGATGGAAATTGTGCTCTATGTTTTATAAGAGAACATATTTCTTCTGCTCTTAAATATTTGAGGGTACCGGTATGGAGTTTATATGGCACAATAATTAGGTCTAAGGAGAGACAAATGACCCTGAGGTTTCTATGCAGGCTTTTGGAAATTCACAAGGAGGCCTTCACCTACGGCTAAAGAAAGGTATATGTACCGCATTGGTTCATATTTTTTCTGGGAGATATCTTACATGCTTGAGTTGTGGGTAACACACGAAAATAACTTCTCACGTGATACTGAAAAATGTTATTGGTTGAAGTAATCACAACTTCTAGTTTCAGCTTCTACCATCCTTTAAATTTAGTAAGCAAGCTCTACTACGTAATAACTCCTTGTGCTGATTTAAAAATAAATTTCTCCCAAATTGAATTCCATTACCAAGACTGATGTTATGGCTAGTCAAAAAAAATAGTGTAATGAAATCAGTGAGACACAATTTCCCTGTAATTTGGAAAACCATGCCCAAAAGTTATTTCCACATGCAGGACAATTAATTATTTTTTTACAAATTTAAGCACTTTCTTTACCTTAAATATGTTTCGTTATTGTACATACTGTACACTGTATATGCTATTTCATAATTGAGCAGATATTCCTCCATTTTGTTATATTTATGTTTTTGTTTGTTGAATATCATTTCCGTAATATGTGTTTGTATACTGGGGAACTATGATTGTACAAGGCATAAGGGCTGTATTTATGTAGTTCCCCTTTTCATTTAAAATTTTTGTTTATGATTTATTTGTATTTATATTGACTGTATTTTTCAATCAAGAATTAAATAAACGACATCAAATGAATTGAATTGAATTGAATTGTTTTAGCTAAAACAATGGAGCAAGTACTTACTCTTTTTGGATTCCAGCTGCTTCCTTCGTTACATAATCTTTGTCCACCTGTAAAAGGTAAGATAAGGGGTAAGAAATAGCATTAGTTGATATCAAAGGTCTATATTAGATAAAGACTGTTTTACCAGGAGGATAATCTGGGATTGTCGGCAGAGGGTGGGGAGAGAAAATGTTTGTACCAATACAAATCCACGGTCCCTGGGAAGCGTAGAATAGATATTTCTGACTCCTGAAAAATATTCACACAAAACAGTCACAGTTTGAAACTCAGTTTGCAAAACCTCTAAGTTTGTATCCCGCCCCCCTAACTCGGTGTTATTTAGGGTAAGGTATGGTTGTTCCCTCCCTTTGAAAGCACCACCTATCTCAGGACTGCCAACATTTCTGAACCCCCCTTTCACAGGCTTTTCCTGCCTTGGAGACTCCCCTAAATCTGGAACACTGCTCAATGTACCCCCCCCCCCCTCCTATCTATCATATTCAAGATATTTTATAACCCTCTTTTTACATTTCTCAGGAGTCCAAACAGAGAGAAAGAAAAAACACCCTCTTTTTAAAGAAATCTTCGGGTGAAAAGTAAAAATAACCCCCCCCCCCCCTTTTTTTTTTAGGGCTTCAATATTAATCCACATCACAGACACTGATATCCCATAGGGCCATGCATCTCAGATTTGTAAAACAGGAAACATTGTTAAGAGACAGTATGCACTATATAAGAAAGAATTATATTGTTACTATCAATTTTACTTCAGTGTACTCTATGTTTATATTCATTCTTTTACCATCGCTTCTTCCTACAGGCTCGTTCAGACATGGCTAGGTAAACTGCCACAAAAAGCAATGAACGGCAACTTTGTATAACAAAGGACTTAAATGTATTTACTGAGCTCTGTGTTATAAGGGGCCGTTTCACAAAGCCTTTTTTCAATGACAAATGACAAAAATCAGTGACAAATCTGCTGATAGCCAATCAGAAGCCAGGATTTCAGTAGCTTATAACAAAAACTGTCATTTGTCACTGATGACAAGTTTTGTGAAACACCCCCCTGATACAGTATTGAAAAGCATATTACACTTTACATCATCATAACAAAACGGCTGCGGTTTTGCAGCATCATATGTGAACGAGCCCTTAAAGGTAAAGACCAGTATTGGAAACGCCCCAATTTCAAAACATGAAATGGAAGCTCTCATTACCAATCATGTGAAAGAATATGTTTTGACTAATACATGATGATACAAAATTTGCCGGGAAACCGCCTACTTATTCATATATTTGGTAAATTTGTTTCTGTGAGAGATATAGGGTAGTCCCATATACATCTTTCTGTGTATAGTGCTTGTAACTTTACAAAGAATGGGCCAAATTTCTTATCATTATGATGATTCCAGAACCTTGCAGATGCTAGATGCTAAATGATCAACCTTTTCTGATCGATTCCACAACGTTTCTTTCTCAATGCAATCGCATGACCATAACTGGTCTTTACCTTTAAGTCATCAACTGAAGAGTCTCCATGACGTTCCAGTCATTCAATTCAAATCAGAAGCAGGTGAAAGTGTTCAAGCACAATTTATATTAATGATATTAATGTACTTTGCATGACTTGTCTCGTTATACAAGGGTCACAGGGAGTTTAGCCAACTGAGCAAAATGTTCTGCAAAATACACACAAGCTACGTGTATCTCACTGATGTACTATTATTAAGTCTGTCTCACTTATACCTGACTTCCTTAAATGGAAATGGAATTTTGCCATCCAAATTATTTATGTGTTTCCCGTAACTGACTCATTTTTGACATTTTAAAACTGCAAGACTAGGTAGATTTACAAAGGTTTGATGTCAGCAATTTTCAAAATTGAAAAAAAGAAAATCCAATGTCTCACTGCTACATTTTGCAGAGAAGGAAGAAGAACAGTTTAATACAAAGTCCTCAGAATTACATTTTAATAAAGTTGATCTACTCTGTCAATTTTGTTATAGATTATTGCTCTTAAAGGTAATATGCCCCAATTGCAGGCCAAAAAAATGAAGGTTAGACTCCAACAGCATTTGAAAGATAATACTAATTTAGAACTTCCCTCAAAACAAAAGGACTGAAAATGTCTTTTTGTGGGCAAATAATGAGAGTTAGTTGACAATTGAATTTAGCGAGCACACTAGTTTAATTAAATAGTCTGATTTTCAGACCCTTGTACCGAATGGTTGTTCATGTTGTGCTACACAAAGATTCAATCAGTTTAATTTTGGCCATTACAAAAAGTGGGTTATTGATGTAGACAATTGCTCATATACCCTTTACAGCTCATGTTATCTACATGTATATTATTACCAAAGAAAAAAAAAGTCAGTCAGTCACCCAATAGTGTCTAACAGTGAAGTCTGGAAAGTAAACAGGTTTTGTTGCATAATTTGAATACTAGGACACTGCTAACGTTTAGATTTCCCCAATAGAACATACGTGACATATTCATAATTCCTGCAAAGTTCTATAGAATTTGATGTTGGCTGCAAAAGGGGTAAACTACCATTAATGTCACAAAATGAGTGAAGTATTTGAGAAGTAGACATATTTTTATGAGTACTCTAAAACCCCTTAGTAGCTGAAAGACATGTCACTTTGATAAATCAATCTGCTAGAAGGAAGGGATGACATTTCAAGACAATCTCAAACAAGGTTTGTTCACATACATGTACAACGTGGTTAAAGAGAAGGTTGAGTTCTGGGAAGAGGTGAAAAATAATTTGTGAACTTTATCATTCTTATTATGCAAGTGTGGAAGAACATCAGGTAAGACATTTTCCCTGAAAAGCTCTTCAAATGCCTAATTCTTATTCTAAATATGTCATGTTCGTAAAACTTGGGGGGCCGGTTTTTTACGCCAAGTGTTCATGTAGTCCCATATACATCTTTCTGTGTACAGTGTTTGTAACTTTACCAAGACTTGGCCAAATTTCTTATCATTTTGATGATTCCAGAACCTTGCAATACACACAAATTCTTATATGCTAGATGATCAACATTTTCTGGTCGATTCCACACCGTTTCTTTTACAATGCAATCGCATGACCAGAACTCAACTTCATCTTTAAACACAGTAGTTTTTCAAGAGTATGCCATTCACATTTCTGTAGCTTTTAAATTGATTTATTAAAGGTAATCAAGAGTAAGCATTTGCTGTCGATCTAGAAACCAGCAAGCCTGCACAGACCAAGGAATACCTTCTTAAATCTTTGTTTGCAAAGAAAAGCTAATCAATCTACCGGTCAGACATCGATCCAATCAGACAATCTCTCGACGGATTCACCTCTTACACCTACTTTTGCAGTTGCAAATGAAATGAAATTGAAATGCTGAAAATAACGGAACTTCTTCATCCTAGATACACCCTTATAAAGGGAGACACTAGTAGATAAACCTTGTTGTGCTTACCTCTGCAATGAAGACAACAATAAGACACTCAAGTTTCTCCTCTTGTGACAGCCCATTGACAAGAGAATGAAGTGTTTCCATCAGGTAGCTCTGTACGTCTCTCTTGATAGTAGGTACTCCAATCACGATGGACACTGCGATACAAGAGGAGACAAAAAAGGAGGTGTTCACATTAGCTTAGATCCTTACATCCAATGATTTCATTTAATAGAATATGTGCTTTTATATTTGACGGATTGAAGACTTTGAAGTGATCCTTTCATGCAGATATCTATCTTGATGGTAGGTACTCAAATCACGATGGACTCTTTATAAGATCATGCACACAAAAAGGCCTTGAAGTGTATCATGATATTCATGAGTCAGAAATTTGAAACAACTTTGTAACGGGTTGGGGACCTATGAAATTAAATTGTCCCGGATTGGAGACAAAAATTAATATCTGGCATTCGGACCGCTGGGCGCGCGACATAATTGCAAATTGCAAATGTGTAATTTGTTGGAATTTTGTGTCTTTGACTAGTGGCGAGCTGTCATAGCTCAGTGAGAAACTAGCTTTAGAGTATGACCCTGAAGCAACTATTGCTGGTGCAATGAGTCGTACAACTGATCAGGTGGATGTGTCACTGAACTAAGGATCAAGAGGTTTTTAAGCCTACCAACTAAGGGCGTGTTTATGCTTAACTTTTTCTGGCCAGAATCAGGCATCTGTTACGCGCTTAGTTTAAAACACGGTTGCGTCCTTTCTCACTTTTGTAGAATCCCCGAAAAAAACGGCGATCACGATCGCCGATCATAAACTCACAAAAAGATTCGTTTACAATTTGTAAACGCGTTTAAATGGGGTCAACACACTGACCTCTAGTGGGTCTACGTAGCATGCACAGTGCAGGTTTGCAAATCCAGCTGCTAGGCCAATTAAGGCCACCCAGGGAGAATTGCCTGGAGGAGCCAGAGAAGTGAGCATAAACAGTACACCGTGGAACTGCGATTACGATGAGCTTTTACGATGAGCGTTACAAATCGCTCATTCTGCCTTTAAGCTTAAACGCACCCTTAGACAACTATAAACATCCTTTGATGAGATACTTATCTGTAACACACCATTACCTACTCAGAGTAGTAATAATAGAACAAGAGAAAGACAATCACCTTGTGTACACCAGGTAATACCAAACTGGATCCTCCAATGATTAACTAATAGTACTTAATTCTCAAACAAGAGCTTATATAGTTGGAATGGAAAGATAAAGCCAATAATATTTATTCATCTGCCTCTCAGGGGATTGTATGAACTAATACATCAAACAACAGATATATATTGACATGCGCTTCCGAGTCGGAAACCTTTCTGTAGTTTGATCTTAATGTTAACACATCCCGACATCTCCTGGAAGACATGTTGGAGTGCTGAGTACAACAAGTTCCAAGGAAGCATGAATAGCGAGAGAGAGTCTCTTCTGGAACAAGTGTCCTGACCTTGTTCTGTTTGAATAATGGTCTGAAACACTAGCATTGACTTGATGAAGAGGACAGGTTGAACTGAAGACACTTGTCTTGGTGATCGCATGAACCCAACCTCTTTTTTTTCTCTGTCTACCCCCTCCCCAGTAGATGCTTGTATTGTCCAGAAATTTACCCAAACATTTCATTAGTTCTCAGAGTGGGTACCCAAAGTCAGTTCTTTCAGACCAAAACAAAATTGAACCCCTGCAAAATCTCTGATATTCCCTTTCACATGAAGACATCAAGAATGCAACAAGGATATAGCTAGCAGCAATACATGCCATAGTTGGCAGCTGCAAGTTAATACAGCCAATTACTGTAATTGTCAAAAGGAGAATAAACATAAAAATGACCATCTCATCAAGCAAGGCATCAAGTTTTGGCTGGCGTCAGACAGGCAATGCATCTGGGGCAGCTTAAATTACTCCCTAGGGCATTCTCGGCTTTTCCGCATTCATCAGAAAAGAAAACACTTGGCGATCGTCTTGTTCGCACCTTCGATTCCTATCTATCCTACGATATACCTTACTGTAAATCAAGCCTTTTTAAGATCAGCACCTTTCTAGGGTCTGGCAACGATAACGTCAATGTATACCCTGGAATATATCAATCAGCACTATTGTATTATCTATCACATTTTCATTCTTATCTAGTGAGTGTGTGTTAGAAAGAAGCTGTTATCAACAGGACAAAAAAGTTATATTGAGATGCTGGGATAGCTTACCGTAGATACTCGATTCAGACCAATCTGACAAGAGCCTTATCGATGACATGAGATAGACGAACGCTACCTCTGTAATTACTAATGACATGTAGGCTTGCTCCTCCTAAAGTTACTTGTACTTCACATGTCATCATCTGGTTGGAGTCAGACAGGCGTTAACTCATGTCACTTTGCACTGGCATAAAGCCCTTCTGGCTCCAGAAAGAGGATCTATGAGTTTATTTATTCTAAGAAAATAAAAAATTATGTTTATATTTCCGGAACCTTTTCACAGGATTCTTTACATTTGGCAGACATGCATTTTCTATGTAAATATACATGGGACAGTGCAGTGTATCCTATTTGCTTGCCCGCTTCTCTCGCTCACAAAATTTAGACACAAGGATTTTTGATATTTGTGCAAGAGATGTCTGCTTCCTGGAGAAATGAAACCCATGAGCATATGGCATATGAATGATATTTAGCCAAACATACCTGCTGGAGAGGGGGGGGGGGGTGTCCTTTTTTACACATCTATGGCACTACTAAATTTACTGATTTGTGTGTAACACTGTGTACTGATTAGAGTGTAGTCGAGTGTAGGGCTGTCATAGTTGAGCTGTTTAATGACTTGCCTGGGAATGCAAAAGACGTGGGTTCGAAGCCCTGCACCACACTTTATATATTTTATATTTCATCTTTGTTGCTCCTCTCCAAGGTAGGATGTGATTGTATTAGCATGAGTGCGTCTCGTTAAAAAGCGACTAGCAGGAATGCTCCCTGGGGAGTGGAGAATGTGAACTGTAATGTGCAGAATAGTAATTGAATCCAGTGATCAGGGAAGTAATATTATTGTAAGAGCTATGGTCGGCCGTTGCATGAACAAGCACTTCATAAGAAATAGTTACCATAACCATTGAGCTGCCCATATCCCTTATTTCCGATAGCGCTGTTTATATTTCAAACATTAAAATCTACCAATATGAAGTTTATCATAATATATAGCTAATATTTCAATAAAATGAAGTGGGTAATAACAATGACAAGAAAATGATGACAGGCTTTATTATTTTCCAATTGATAATGCCAACTTCTGTCTACTCCAAACTGAGGAAATTTCCTCCAGATATATATTCTAATTCTGATTTCAACGTGACCTGATCCTGGATTTAATGCAGCTGTGGCTATGTATCAGGATACGTAAGGATGCGTTCAAGCGATTTTTCATCTACGCTGATTCTCGCTCATTTCAAGCCCAGACACTGCTCATTACACTGTGCAGTTTGACCCAGGAAGTATAGGTCAATTTTGCTGCATGCTTTCTGTCTGTGTTTACGGTTGACTGTCGGTCAAACCGGAAGCAAGCCACGATAATGCCATGATAATGACGTCATATAATCATAATTGAGATCTCCGTTAATTCAAGCAAATTTTAGCGACTGTAATTCTGCAGAATCATGATACAAAACACATCTTTTTCAGCGTTTCATGTTTGTGTTTTTAAACACATTTATTTTTAGGACCGACGAAAAATCGCTTGAACGCAATCTTGTTTTAAACTAAACGTCTTTGAAAACCGTAATTCTAGGGTGAAAGAGTGTCGATTAAACGCACCCTAAACGAGGGATGAGACATCTTCAGAATCGCCCTGTGCCATCATAACTGTCACGACCTAGGAACGATGCTTCAAGCTTAGAAACAGTTTTCACTCGATGCTAAGTTTCTGACACCTACGACTCTCTAAGGAATCCTTTCCTTCAACAAAATGTGCATCGAGAGCAAAAGGGTGTGCAGATGGGTGTACACTCCTATTATCATATAGTACAGTGTTATTGCCATCCTGGCTCTCAACAGATAATATTGTAGTCATGAAAAACAATGAAATGTATACCGTTTATGGTATTTTTTTTACAAGACAACAACAAATACAGTTCACCGATCATTTTTTATACTATATTGCTTGTATCGTCTAGTAGTCATTCCATATATTTCAGATGCAAACATTAAAACTCAAATTTGTAATACCCTGTATAAAACATTAAAACCAATATTAACACTGATATAAAGTTTTTTTAAATCTGAATAAAAAGCCCTTTTAATTTTTAGACGGTTTTGTAATTTTATCAGCTGTAGACTTTCTTACAATTTTAAAATATCAATACAACTGTATATATATAGATAGGAGAACTTTGACACAACTTTTATAGTTACAAATATGTACACAAAGCATCCATGTAATGAGAAAGGCATTCCACAACAGGGACTGGTGTAGAACTTGGAAAATATCAGAAATAATCTTATGGATGAGCTGTCAAGCCTGTCAACCAAAGATTATATACACATAAATGCATTTAATAGCTCTATTGATCAGAACATGGTCACTCAAGCACAACCCCGTATTTCAAATGTTCAGTATGTGTGAGCAGTGACGACGATACGTGGCAGATCATTTTCTATGTGTATCGTTGACTACAGGTAGTAATGATCTAGATAATGAACTCAATTATTGATTCCATGAACTGGTACATCACAATTGCTTCTCTGCACTGCACGGACTTCCATTGCTCAGCCTTGTTTTCCATTTCACACTCACAGCATTTCAGCCATGAAATGCAGTGAAATGCAGCAAAAGAAAGAAATTCACATAGGCACAGATAGACAGAAGGCCTCAGTATTACTGCAACTAAATTTTATACAATTTCAAATGTACAATGACACTGTAAGCACAGAAAAGAGAGAGAAAGAGAGAGAGAGGGGGAGATATGAGAGGGGGGGTGCGCTAGAATTTGATGTGGCAGTCGTCTTACAAATTTTCAGCTGCCTTTTTGGCGATATTGATTTCTCGTTAGCTCGTCATCCGGACCCCTGTATAGTAACAGCTGTCTCAGGTTACCCAGCAATGGTAGGGAGTCATCAAGGCATCTA